ATTTTTTCAACTTTTCTGTCTGTGTGTACAAAATTTTCAAAATAAAAAATTGAGGAAAAAAAAATTATCCAAGTGCCTGCCATGTCCCTCACTGTGCTAGAGGGTTTTACACATTGTTACATCCCAGAAAAGGCACATAGAAGAGGACATTTTAAGTCTTCTTAGTTTGGGCAGGTATGTCATCATTTCTTTTGCAATAAATACGCCTACTAATTTTATTTGGACTAACAGGAAGAAAAGGTTTGGTTTCACCGCACGATTAATGACAATGGGATGCTATGTACTTCGCGTGAAGTAACGGCAGGGAGACTGGAACTCAGATATTGCTACTGTTCATCTACAAAGTATATAATATCCCTAGGTGATTGAGGGAAGACCATAAAACATCCCTGTTTACTTGTGCAAGGCATGCAGCCATATATTTCCTTTATGTGTCTATTCACAATAATTTGTCAGCCTTGGACCCCAAGTCCCTGGAAGGAAGGGACAATATCTATCCAAATCACTGCTCATCCCCCAGCATGACACCATGGTGAAATAAATATTTAACATGGCAATAAAAAGTTGATGGTGATGATGTTGTGAAATGAGCATGTGCCTGGCAGAAAATCATTCAACACCCTGAAACCCCAGAGTCTTGAAGGGTTTTGATGCTGCTGGTGGTGAAACGTGGCATTGTCTGTCTGGCCTGTTACCTTTAGATCTTCCTCTTGGAGCTGTTCCATATACTCCAGCATCTGCTCCTTCTCCTGCTCCCGCTGCTCAGCAAGCAGTGATCGCTCCTCCTGGTTCTTTTCCATCTGTTCCACAATTTGCCGCCTTCCTCTTGGAGAGAACAGTGCCACAGTGTCTTAGAAACCCAGGGTCCACGTCTCCCAGAGTCCAACCTCCATCTAAACAACCCCCAAGGTGGGTGGTGTCACAGAAACAATTGACAAGTGCCCCTTAAACATCGATATGCTTCATGAGCCCAGACCAAAGTCCTTCACCCAGGAAGGACCTCAAGGGTTAGCCTCCTTTCTCCTGAGCTCCTGGTTCCAGGGCTCACTTTTCCTGAGATTCTTCTTCTTTGTTTGCCCAAGAGGGGCACCCCACTTGATAAAACACTTTCTACCTTCCAGTATATAAAGAGTTTCTAGGCCGGGCGTGGTGGCTCAAGCCTGTAATCCCAGTACTTTGGGAGGCCGAGACGGGCGGATCACGAGGTCAGGAGATCGAGACCATCCTGGCTAACACGGTGAAACCCCCTCTCTACTAAAAAAAATACAAAAAACTAGCCGGGCGAGGTGGTGGGCGCCTGTAGTCCCAGCTACTGGGGAGGCTGAGGCAGGAGAATGGCGGGAACCCGGGAGGCGGAGCTTGCAGTGAGCTGAGATCCGGCCACTGCGCTCCAGCCTGGGAAACAGAGCAAGACTCCGTCTCAAAAAAAAAAAAAAAAAAAAAAAGAGTTTCTGAAATCCTACCACCTCCCAAATCTTCCCAGAGTAATCATAGGAAGCTAGCTGAATAGTAAAAAGCCAAACAAACAAACAAAAAACAAAAAACAACAACAACAAAAAAAAACCCAGGGTCTATAAGCAGTGTTACCAGTGATTCCCTATGTGTTAATGGGTGTCAACAAACTTGGAAGCATAGACCCCATGACATATGAGTAAAGGCTGGAAGAATGGGAGAAGACACAGATTAGGATAAGGATCGAGGGAAAAAAGTATGAGAGCCACATTCAGATGGAGTGCTCGAATGGCTTCATGACTCCACATGAAGTAAACCAGAGTAAAGAGTAAAAGGGTTACATGAAAACAAGTTTGGCCTCAATATAAGGACCAGCTCAAATCATTACTGTTGCCTAATGAGACAGATTTTTCCTTTACTGGAGCTATTTATGCAGAAGATGGACAGCCACTTAGCCACTAAATAACCTTTTACTGGGAACCTACTATAGTACACCAGGTACCTACCAGAAGTACAGAGGTGAATGTACCAGGTATAGTATACCAGGTACAGAGATGAATGGTTCCAGAGAATAGGATACAGCTGGGGAGATAAAACTGCCATTCAGTGTGGTACAAGGATTATTTATAGAGGTAATTCATGTATTGAATGGTTGGCGTTCTAAATCTAGGACACTATTATTCTATAATTTACTTGCTCTGGGACTTGTCCTTTTCAGCACAAAATGAAGGGGAGACTGAATTGATTCATCCTAACATGAATTAAGCACCTATTACAGGCCAAACACTCTACTAGGCTCAGAAGCTACAGAAATTGATACGATAGGACCTGTCCCCAATGAGCGTAGCATCTAGGAGGGTCAGAGAGCCACAGCACAACAGCACAAGAGTAGGGTACTGGAGTATAAACACAGAGTGATGAGCGCAGAGAAGGGAGCCACTAAGCCTGCCTGGTGACATGAGGGAGGTGACAGCAAAGCTATGTATAAAGGGAAGGAGAGAGCATTTTCCAGGAGGAAAAGGAGAGGAGGGTATTCAAAAAAAGAGAAAACAACAAAAAATTAAGAACTTGTGACATGGCCTGGCATGTTGGGGGCCTGGGAAAAAGCAGAAAGTAGATGGCAGGTAGGGGTAAGAAACGAGATTGCAGCCAGACTGTGAAGTGTCTCCCAAGATTTGGGAAATAAGCTTTTAAAAGTTCTGTGATTCCGGCCAGGCTCACGCCTGTAATGCCAGCACTTTGGGAGGCTGAGGCCGGCTGATCACTTGAGGTCAGAAGTTTGAGATCAGCCTGGGTAACATGGTGAAACCCCATCTCTACTAAATACAAAAATTAGCCGGGTGTTGTTGTGCATGCCTGTAATCCCAGCTACTTGGGAGGCTGAAGTAGAAGAATCGCTTGAACCCAGGAGGTGGAGATTACAGTGAGCCAAGATTATGCCACTACACTCCAGCCTGGGTGACAGAGTGAGACTCCCTCTCAAAAAAAAAAAAAAAAAGGTTCTGTGATTCTGTGTATCACTTAGTGAAGTTTTAAGATAAGTAGATGACAATAATGACCATTTTGCATTTTTTCCCTCTTTGCTAGGCTACATGGACCTAAAGATACATGGAAATAGCTTAGAGAGGGAGATGCCAAAACCATATCTTTACCTAATTCTTTCCTCCCTCCTCTTCCTGTCCAGTTCCTCCTGCCTTTGAATGGATTTCTGCCGCTCCACTTCCATCATCTGATCCAACCGCTTCTCCTCTGTGTCCAGTTCTTTTTGGATCTCCTGCTTCTCCAGGATTTGGGCATCCCGAATGGCATGGCACTTAGCATTGAGGATAATCTGGAGAGTGGGGATTAAACTGTGGCACTAGGCCTAGGGATGTGTAAGTTTAAGGGGAAGAAATGGGAACACAATGCTATACTGCTGAGCATGCCGGAGGTCTGCATGACTGCTCACAAGTCCGGGGAAATAAGAATGTTCTTATATTTACCTTTCCCCTGAATACAGTTGAGCTCAAAGATTTACTGGCCTTCTGCTAGGTACCATGGTCTGTGCAAGGAGGGGCCTGGAATAGCATCTTTCAGGGAGCTACATCGTAGGGTTTTGGTGGTAATGGGTCACCCTTTGGAAATATGATGAAAGCAGTAGGCCCTCTCCTCCATCAAATTCACTTACAGATATACACACAAAATTTCTATAAAACTTCAGAGGTCCATTGTTCCACTTAGAGACCCATGAACTCCAGGGTGGACCCCTTGTTCTCCTCAGGGGAGCTAAGACACTCTTGCAGAGGCCAGGCCACAAGATTTTTAAGCTGGAAGAGCCCAACATGACACAAAAGGGATGAAAAGCCATGGGCCCATCCATAAGAACCCAAAAGTAAAACTTTAGAAAATTAAAGGAGGCAAACGTACAGAAGATTTACCTGAGAGACAGAAATCAGAGGTGCAGGGATTGGGGAATCAGCACTTTTCGTTTGGTAAGGAAATGAACCACGTGCAAATGAGTTACAACAGAATTCAAATGAGCCTCTGGTCTTTATGCTCTCAGCCAAAGGAAGAGCTTTAGGTACTCCAAAAGCATCCAATTGCCTCGACCACCATACGTGGCCAGAACTGAACTAACAGGATGAAAATAAAAGTAACACTTCACATTTAATTTACCAATCCACAGCCCACAAAGCCTCTCCCATCTATTAGCTTATTTCATCCTGCCAATGATTCCACAAAGCAGTTTTACCACCCTCAAGTTACAAATGAAGAAAGTGAGGCTCAGGGAGGGCAAGTGACTTGCCCAAGATCACACAGCAAGCAGGTGGCAGAGCCAGTCCTCACTGTGATCACTGCAACTACCACAGCAGGTGCAGCTCTCCTGCTGCCCCTCCCCTGCCCACACCCCCACCAGTCCCTGACCTTGTCCAGTGTGGGAATAAGAGGAGGGAGGCAGGATGGCAGTGAGCGCTCAGAGGGAAGGGAGAGATGAAGAGCCCACCTTGCTCATGTCCTTGAGCTCCTCCTCCTGCTCCATCCGCAGCTTGTTGGCTTTCTGCAGGAGGTTCTGGGCCCGTTCCTTGGCTACCTCCTCCAGGTCACTGAGCTTCTTGTTGTTGTTCCACACCATCTCCTTCTGTTTCATGATCTTCTTTCGTGTCATCACTGCATCCTAAGGGAGACCAGTCTGGCTCAGTGGGGGATTATTTCATGCGCTTTGTGCCCTGGGTGCTAGCCTGGCTATCACAGGTGACCCAGTACAATTTTGCCTCGGCCAGTGATGACATCAGAACCAAGAAGTTCCACAGCCTGGCTTCATTCTCAGCCCTCCCCTTGGCCCTAGTTGCTCCCACCTCTCATCTCAGGTGTTGCTCTTTGGTCTCCTTTCTGCAATATTTCTTAAGTACGTAATTTGTGCCTCATTTCAGGGACCCCCTAATGAGAGTTCCTCAGTACATTTTGATTCTGCCACCCATCTGCAGAGGCAAAGGCTTAGGGAGGTTAACTACCATGATGGCTTCCTTCTCCTTCTTGAAGACCTGGTCCCTGGCCTCAAGTTCTTCTCTGGTCAGGACATGGGATACCCATTTGATTCGCTGAAACTCCTCAGGGCTGATGATTAGGGATTCCCCGGAGGGATCCTCTGTGGGAACACTGACACAAGAATGAACAGATTTAGGGAGGTGAGAGGGAAAGTTCTCGGCACCACACTTTAGGCTTCTCTGCTCTCTTCCCCTCTCCCCATCATGCCAGTGGACTTCTCCAGTGGCAGAAGAGACGGCAAGTGTGCCATGGGTCCATGGGGAGTAGAGGTTCCAAGGTGGGGGTCAGGTAGCACTGCAGGCTAAAAAGAGACATTTAAGTCCTTTTTCTATAAGGTCCAACTCATATGTTACCTTCTCTGTGCAGCTGAGACCCACCCCCCATCATGTCCACATGTGCCCACTCTGCCCCCCCCACCCACCAAGACCCAATAGATCACCTCCTCCTCTGAGCCCCCACTGCACTCTGTTCTTACTGCCTGTATCACAGCCAATCATGCAGGCTCTGTTTCCTTTATGAGCTCCTTCAGGACACAAACTCTGTCTTAACCACATTGGTAGCCTAGTCTCTAGCATAGCGCTTGCCACAGAGTGAGAATTCAAAACAAAGCTGTTGAATTAAACTTTAAAAACAGATTATTCCTCAAGGATGACATAAAAAGGGCAAGAGGACGCCAGACAAGGTTGATGTAGATGCTAGTTAGAAACCTAAGCTTCCCTGCCTATCCAGCCTAGAGAGAAGCTTTGAACCCTAAATATTAATTAAAATCTATGATCAACAATAGCCAGAGACGTCTATAGACCTCTCCTTTCTAGCTATCCAACGCATTCAACAAACCAATCACTAATTATAATGATTACAAGCAAATGACATACATTAAAGATGGGGGAGGGAGTAGTTGGGGAGGTGGGAAGAAAGCTGCTTCTGGGTGAGGCAGGTACATGCCAATAAGACAGATGGTCTGAGACAGGAAGTGAAACCTCATCTAATAAAACCAGTGTGTGTGTGTTGGGGGAGGGTGGTCCAGGAGATGGACAGAATGAGTGAGTGGATTTGCAGCTTAGCCAAGATCTTGTGTTTCATGAAGCAGTGTGGCCCTAAACAGCCTAGGATCTGGAGTGACCAGCAGTGATCTGAATCTAAGACAGCAGTTCATACTACTTTCAGCAGCCCTGAAAAATAACCAGCCACTTGTCCTCTGACGTGTTTTCAGGACCAGATGGCTCCAAGAAGGAGCCCTTCCTCCAGCTCCAGGAGTGGCTGCAGGGCTCTAGCCACATCTGGCCACTTGATGCCAGGGCTGACCAGACATGGTCAGTAAGGGACCGCAGTCCAACACAGCTCCCGGGGTGTGTCCCAGATGTGCTTCCCCAGCTGTGACACAGGTAGCATTTTCTGGGAATTAGGGTTTTTAGTGGGTGGAGCCAGGGCTGGGGGAACGGTTGTAAAGGGTGAAGCACTAACACAAGAGCTAAACCACCGAGCAGTGTTGGCTCATGGCACATGGTTGAGCTAGGCCTAAGCCCCACAGGAGGGGCTCAAGCCTGGGGGCAGCTCTAGTCAGGAAGCGGGGCTGAGCTAATCCCAAAGGAAACCAAGGAGCCCCTGTGAATTTCCTCTTACGGCCTTAGAGTCTGGGAGGAAGCCAGGGGTCTAATGAGGCATCTGGTCAGTTTCCCTTTGCTTCAGATTCTTAATGCAGCCGAAAGGAAGTGACTCATCTGGATCACTTCTCTTTAGGGAGGGCACTAATGGGGACTTAGAGAGGACTCACTAAGCACCTCCCCTCTACCAGTCCCTTAGCTCACACAGCCAGCCAGAAGTAAGGAAGGAGAATGAAGCTGAGAATAAAGGACAGTGGCAATAATAGATACAATGGGAGAAACAAGACAGGCCAGGACGGAGAAGAAAGAAAGAACTATCAAACAAAAAGGGGAAAATGAATAGGAAAGAAGTGGGGATTGGACGGACAGAATGAAACCAGATGGGTTTATCCATCTCCTTGCAAAGATCCTTAGCAAAAGGATAGGGACTGGGCAAAGAAGGACAGGGGACTGTGTACTCACATGAGCTCTCGGACCATGTCCCGGGTGATGAGCTGGATGGTCTCTGGCTTTCGATCCAAGCCCAAAGCAGTGAGAGTTTTTTGAAGGGTATGCTTATCTCGGAGCAGCACAATGGGGCTGTCACTCTGGCCCTGGGCTGGGGACTATGAGTTCAGAAAGAATAGCTTAGAAGCTTGTCACCCCCACTTCCTGCTGGTCAGTCCTAACTTCAAGGATAGACCAGCGTGATGCCCTATATCTGAGCATGGCTGGATGTGTTCTGTACTGATCAGCTTTTCTTTTCTTTTCTTTTCTTTTTTTTTTTTTTTCTTTTCTTTTTTTTTTTTTTTCTTTTCTTTTTTTCTTTTGAGATGGAGTCTTGCTCTGTCACTCAGGCTAGAGTGTAGTGGCACAATCTTGGCTCACTACAACCACTGCCTCCCGAGTTCAAGCAATTCTCCTGCCTCAGTCTCCCGAGTAGCTGGGATTACAGACAACCACTACCACACCTGGCTAATTTTTGTGTTTTTAGAAGAGATGGGGTTTCTCCATGTTGGCCAGGCTGGTCTCAATCTCCTGACCTCAGGTGATCCGCCCACCTGGGCCTCCCAAAGTGCTGGGATTACAGGCGTGAGCCACCGTGCTGGGTCCTGACCAGCTTTTCAGAGAACAAGTCTCTTGTTCTTGCACGGATATTCCTTGCAGAACGGTAGGGATAGTAAAGAGTGGCGGTCACTAGTGTGTGTCTATACCTAGTCTAAAGTCATCAGGAATGAAAGCAAATTTCTGGTCTCTAGGTTTTCCTCTCTCCATGAAAGATTTTCCTTTACGAAAGAAGAAATAATTATCTCTCTAGGACCACACAGTGGGTTTGAAGCAATATAATTTGTTACAGACTCTTACAGTCTTTGACCTTGGTCATTTTAAATTATTTCTTACAATTAAATTACTTTAACCCCCGCAAAAAGCCATATTGAGGGAGATAGAAATTGCTAAATGACCTGCAGAGGCCTACCCTTAAGATCTATGGGTAGTTCTCTACCAGCTCATTGAGTCGGTGCTGAGGTCAGTGAGTTAGAATTCAGCAAGAACACAGACTGTGTTTTTTTTTGTTTTGTTTTTGTTTTTCAAAATTCTCCAACCTGAAGGAGTTAGATAACAAGAAAATGAAATCACCTGTTTCAGAAAATGTCTAAATACAGGAAAGGATGTGTCATTAATGCAGCCACTGTGATCCTGACCAGAGGCAGGGGGATGGCCCCACTTGTCCTACCTCACTTTGCACTCACAGTCCCCTGTGTGCTGCTGCCACCTGGTGCCCATCTCTGCTTTCACGTGGGCACAACTCAGTCATGCCACAGGCCACTTCTGCCCTCTACTGCCTGTTGAGAGACTTCCTGAACTCTTACCCACCAATGAGGCCAAAGAAACTGGGCAAGGGACAAGCATTTTTCTGATAACCACCTTTTGCCAGCCAGCGTGACTGCTCCCAGAGAACTCAGCCAATTCCAAATCTCTCTTTGCTTTGACTAGAAAACTCCACATGTACCCACAACAACAGCAACAACAACACAAATGTCTGTAAGTGAAATTGCATTTCGGCCAGGTGGGGTGACTCACACCTGTAATGCCAGCACTTTGGGAGGTCAAGGCAGGCAGATTGCTTGAGCTTAGGAGTTCAAGACCAGTGTGGGGAACACAATGAAACCCTGTCTTTACAAAAAATACAAAAATTAGCCAGGCATGGTGGTGTGCACCTGTAGTCCCAACTACTTGGGAGGCTGAGGCAGGAGAATCACTTGAGCCTGGGAAGCGGAGGTGGCAGTGAGCCAAGATTGTACCGTTGCACTGCAGCCTGGGTGACAGGAGTGAAACCCTGTCTTAAAAATAAATAAATAAATAAATGCATCTGTTGATCCTTTCCCTTACCAACAGGAAAACTGCTGCAGAGTGAGAGTCTTCTAAATGGATTAAGAAGCCTATCTTGATCCCTCTGGAGAGTCCTCTTCAATTCACAATGAAGATGTTGAAGAGCAACACCAACTCTCCTCTCCCCACCTTCCCCACTGGCAGAGGGATTCAGATCACTATTGGTGTCTCTCTTTCCCTTTTCCCCTTCTCTTAAACTCTCACTGCCCTTCTCTCCATGTCTCATTCTCTTTTTCTCCTTCCCTCTCTTCCTTCTCACCTACTAAACTCCATGTGTACCAAAATCAGTCAAGGCTCTATTATCTAGCTCTCTTTATCCAGACTAAAGGAGTTGTCAACCTCTTGGTCTAGACAACACTTGCAAATAAAGACCTGCTCATTTCCCAAAGCTAAATAATTGTTTTAGTTGAGCAACTGGGAAAGGAGGATGGTTTTGTGTTGTACTCTGATGCTATTATCCTTGGATGGAGGGGGAAGATGTTGCTCTTGTCTGCAAGCTTAGCCCATCAGCCCTCCAGCGGTTCCATCATGGAGCTCAACTGCAACTATTGCACTCTCTGCAGCTGAGCCTCCCTTTTGACATTACAACAGATTTTAAACACTGTGAAGACATGAGAGACTCTGAGGTGGAAGAAGCCGGGTGTCCCTGTTGAAATAGGCCCCACTAGATCCCAAAGCTCTGCAACTCAGGTCTCAGAATTCCCCTTTGTCTTCAGTCTGAGAGCTACCTATGAGAGCAAGGTTACTCAGCAGAAGCTTTGCCCTGAGCTACATTTTTGGGCTTCTGCCTGCAGGTAGGTGGCATTGACTTGAAAGGACTTGTTGAAGATTACCTTGATATCTCCAAAGAGGTTCTCATCCACTTCAGAGCTCACGGCTTTGGTCCGATAGCGAGCCTTATTCCTTGACCTGTTGGAAGCGGCAGAAGAGGAGCTCAGGATGCCAGCTGTGCTTAGTGGCTACAGGAAGAGGCAGAAAGTTTGGGTCATCAGTACTGAGTAGCATCCAGGCCCTGAGCAGTCCACAATTCACCAGCCCATGCTGGGGGAGTGGGTGGGCATGTGAAAAAGAAATAGTTAGGGAAAGCGGCTGTATAAACTCTGAACCATAGGGGACAAAGAGTAGCAGATGGAGGGCATCCCCACAGAGCAGGGGGGTCTCTGCAAAAAGAGAGCTCTGCACAAAGGAGCATTTCTGTAAAACAGTTGATCTCATAGAAGTAGAGAGTAGAATGGTGGTTACCAGAGGCTGAAGAGAGGAAGGGGAGGGGCATGGGGAGAGGTTGATCAATGAGTGCACAGTTACAGTTAGATAGGAGGAACAAGTTCTGGTGCTCTATTGCACAGAAAGGCCACTATAGTTGATAATAATGTACTGTATATCTCAAAAGAGATACACAATATCTAGAGGAGAGGATTTTGAGAAATATAAATGTTATAAGATTAAATGAGATGGTAAGATCTAGTATTTGATAGCACAATAGAATGACTAGAGTTAATAATGTATATTACTATATATAAATGTATATTAATATACATGTATATAATAATATATAACTATATATAAATGTATATTAATATACATGTATACAATAATGTATATTATTTATATTGTATATTTCAAACTATCTAGAAGAGAGAATTTTGAGTGTTCTCACCGCAAAGAAATGACAAGTGTTTTAGGTAATGGATATGCTAATTACCCTAATTTGATCATTATACAATGTACATACATGTATCAAAACATCACACTGTACCCCATAAATGTGTACAATCATTATGTGTCAATTAAAAACAAAACTGTTTTGTTTTTTGCGGTTTTTTAAAAAGCAATTCTATAGTCCCCGAAGCTGAAGGCCAAGTCGGCCACATAGGATGGAAGTAAAGATAAAAGAAGCAGGAATGGCAGGAGGAGAAAAGCAACAGTTTCTCATTATCAGACTACTACCAGTTTCCCAAGAGGACAGCCTCTCGTGGGGCAATTTGGACTTGCCTCTCCAGACATGCACAGTGTCCCCTTTGCCTCCAGTCTTTTCAGCTTGTGCTTCAAGTCTTTCTCACAAATGATACCACTGTTTGACCTCCTTTGTATCGCCACAATCTTACAAGGTTATGGTGGGAGCACAGGATATAAAGGATGGAAAAGCGCCTCACCCACTGCTTGGCATGTGGCTGATGCCCAATAAACTTGAGACAGTGGTGAATGATAAATGATTACTAGCTACAATCAAGCAAACCAGTTCATAATATCCACTATTTGGCTGTTTCTCTCCCAAGACCCTTTTAGTGTGCCTTAGTCATTTTTTAGCCCCCTACTAACTTCCTATTTTGGCAAATTCCCCATCTAATGAGTTGTGGGAGATAGTGCTCATCTCCAACTACAGAAGCTGAAAACATCAAGTATTCACCTTCTCAGCCTGCCCAAGGGACCTAGGCTTACCCAGTGAGATGGCCCTGGACTGACAATGACTAGGGAACTAGTGAACCAAAAGGCAGAACAAGGAAAACCTTTCTGACCCAAACAGAACTGGCAGTCAGACCCAGTGTCTGGACAACACTGATAACGATGCCAGCAGCAGCACCCTATGTACAGAGTTGGAAGTTTTGGGGATACAACAGTGCATCAGGGTCCTTGCCAGATCAGTTCTAGGTTTTGATTGTGGTCTTGATTCCAGCTGCAGAACCTTCCTTTGTTCCTATTTTTGAGCTCTCCAAAACCCTCTTAACACATTCTCTTTTACTTAAATTGGAATTCTGGTTCTGTCGCTTGTAACTAAGAATCTGATTAACACAACCTCCATTCCCAAAGGACAGGCAGCTTCAGCTCAGTCCCAAGAGTAGACGTCGATCTTGAAAAGGTAGTATCTACAAGGACTACTGGATGACTCCAGGCTTATGATAAAGCTGACTCAAACCTCACTTTGGAGGAGCCCATATGCCCCACATCTCTCTAAACTGGGTTACCTTGAAGGAATGGGCCAGACACATTCCCAAGACTGGGAATCAGCAGCTGTCAAGGGAACAGGGTAGACAGGGAAATATACCATGCATTCCAGGTCACTAAGCCCTGGACAGTGTTCTGAAAGCTCTCTCTGATCTGTCATTACCAACCAGACATCCCAGTGCCTGTTACACCTGTATCAGGTTTTCACACTCAATTGGACAATTATTTTCCAGCTGTCTCTGTGCTGTACATTGAACACTGCTATATGTGCATTTCCCTCACTGCCTGGCACAGCCAGCAAAAGGCTTACACAGGGAGTCTCCCTCTACAGCCTCAGCCAGCCCCAATACAGTAGAGCAGAGAAGCTTGGATTTATTAAAAGGTAAAAATAGCAGCCCCAAGGATGCCTAATAACAGCCTCTAAAGGGTTATTATATGGTAGGTGGTGAGCTACAGCTCCCCTTTCCACCAAAAATAGAATAAGAGGAAATGAATAGAAACTTCAGTAGGTGGGATTGAGGCTAAGCATTTGGAATAACTGGAAAAGGTGGAAGGCTTTGGATCATGAGTTTTGCATGTAATTAAGGGAAAAGGCGCAGTGCCTGGCACATACTAGGAACAATATAGCAACGTGCATTTGATGAAGAAAGATGACCTCTCAAGGACAGGACTGCAGACCAGATTGAGATGGATACTTTTCTGGAATATGCCTGCCTGACTCCAAGTCACTCCGCCATTCCATGTTTTCCAGATCACGTATGTGGTCTCCACTGTGGATAATAACGTATGTGAAAGGGCTTTGGAATACAGATGGAAAGTATTATTGTTTTCCATTTGTTTTCCTGTCTCTTTTCAAGGACTCCAACAGGTTTTCCCTTGTGCTGAAGTGTCCGCCAGACTGCAGGTTCCTCCAGGGCTGAGCCTGCATCTCCTGTTTCCTATGCCCTTGGTACCCATGTCAAGAGGAAGTCACAGCAAGGACTGCCTGAGCCAGAACAGAGGAAGAAAAACAGATGACCACAGAAAAGTGGCCACTGAGCAGGACAGAGGGAAGCTCTGAACTCTAGGGTTGGGTGGTTGAGAAAACCTCATTTGGAAAATGCTGACTTTGAAGCCACAGCCTTACACCAGGGTTAGAATAAACAGTTTTGCCAAGGGTAACAAGGATTACAGAGGTCACTGTGTAAACATACTAGAAAAAAATGGAAAACCAAGCATAAACGTGAAGTTGGATCCCTCTGGGCCAGAGGCAATAGTGAAGAAGTTCTTTTAGGAGGTGACGGGCTGGTTTTCTTCTTTGCATGACCAAATAAATATTGCCAAGAAGCTGAACTGTGCATAAGGAGAAGCATATCCAGTCCTGCTTGTGGGGAGATAGCTCTTGAAGGGAAGGCAGCTGAGAAGGCAGGGGGTCTGGGGAAAATGAGGACTGGGGACAGATAAAGATGCCAGTCCTGCTTTGATATTTTCGTCTTGGTGACTCAGCTGACTCCCCCTCTCTTCATAAGCCTTCCAACTCCTGGAGCACAAGAATTCAGCCACAGCTAGGAGCTCTATGAGAGACTCTGATGCAGAAAGATTTGCTGATCAAACAAATAATGATTTTGATTTGCAGACATTGATACAGGATGATCTCCATAACATGTTAAGTTGTAAAGAAAACAGACTGTAAGAAACACGTAAGGCTGGGTGCCATGGCTCATACCTATAATCTCAGCATTTGGGGAAGACAAGGAGGGTGGATCGAATGAACTCAGGAGTTCAAGACCAGCCTGGGCAACATGGCAAAACCCCATCTCTATAAAAAGTATGAAAATTAGCCAGGCGTGGTGGCGTATACCTATAGTCCCAGCTACTTGGGAGGCTGAGGCGGAAGGATAGCTTGATCCCGGGAGGCAGAGGTTGCAGTGAGCCAAGGTTGAGCTACTGCACTCCAGCCTGGGTGACAGAGCAAGACATTATCTCAAAAAAATAATAATAATAAAGAAAGAAAAAGAAATATAAGTATTCTTGGCCAGGCATGGTGGCTCATGCCTGTAATCCCAGTACTTTGGGAGGCCAAGGTGGGTGGATCACCTGAGGTCAGGAGTTCGAGACCAGCCTGTCCAACATAGTGAAGCCCCCGTCTCTACAAAAAAATACAAAAATTAGCCAGGCATAGTGGCACGTGCCTGTAATCCCAGCTACTCGGGAGGCTGAAATCCCAGCTACTTGGGAGGCTGAGGCAGGAGAATCGCTTGACCCCAGGAGGCAGAGGTTGCAGTGAGCCAAGATCGCGCCACTGCCCTCCAGCCTGAGCGACTCCATCTCAAAAAGAAAAACAAATGTAGAAGTATTCTTGTAAAGATGTTTGAATGGCAAGTATGTGCCCAGAATGTATTACTGAAAGCATGTTCAAAAAAATGTTTAACAGTATGTCAGGTAAGCTTTACCATCTTAAATGTTTCTTTATTGAATAATTTCCTACAATGAGTAGACAGCTATTTTTATGACCAGAAAAAAAAAAAAACTATTTTTTATTTGAAAACAAAGCATAGCAATGGGCCTGGTGCCCCAACTCTGAAAGCAAGAGAGTACAACCCTTAAAAAAAAAAAATAGCATTATATATTCCGGGATCCAGGATGTTTCACTCAAATCCAGCAAGACGAAGCTGGAATGGGGCTAGAATAGGTCAGTATGGAGTTTCCCTGATGTAACTTCATCACCCATCAACTGAACGAGTTGATATGTTCAGGAAAGATATGTCTTTTCCTAAATGTCTTACCCATTCTGAGATCTAGTTCTTTTTTTGCACAGAGTCACCGCAGGCTGGCAAATTCAGGCTTCAAACTCTTGGCCTGGTTCTACTTCCCTTTCTGAAGACTTTAGTTACCAAGTAAGGGAGATTCCCATGAACCAGACCCCTTGCCTTTTACTCTGAGTGATCCACGTAATTATCCTCTTTCTTCAAGTGGGACCAAGTTGGCCATCTGTAGGATGCCACCAGAAGATAACATCCTAGTCAGTACTGAGGTCCCCATCTCTCCTTCTGGAGGATTTTAATCATTATTTTTATAAGAGTTCTGGAAGTCTGCCTAATTGTGAGCCTCACCACCCCTACTATCTCTTCTCACACCTTTAAATATTCTCAAAACCTATTGAGTAGCACCATATGTACACAAACACACATACCTGGCCTGCCAGAGATCACTAACTTAGACCCACTGCTTCTCAAAAGTGTCCATATGCCCAGTCCTGCCCCAGGAATTTCAAAGGGGCTCAGTCAGTGAGTCAAACCCCTGCCCTGAGTGGCTCCTGGATGGGGAATCCCCGATCTGGGTGCTCTGAAGTCCACGAGTCTTGCCCAGGTGCAACTTATGACCTGCGAGAGCTTGGAAATACGAAATTTTTAAAAGAGGACAAAAGGGGAACTAACATTTACCATATGCCCTTAGACACCAGGCATGACAGTAGGTGCTCACATACATACATACGCTACTGGGTTTGTAAGGTGCTGAGAGAAGATGGGACACTGAATCAAATAGAATACATAAGTGAAAAGGGATTCCCCCCCACCCCAATTACAACACTGCAGGGAGTCCTCGAAAGTCAGGAACTGCTCTTTGTTGAAGGCTTATTTAATAATTAACAAAACTCTTCTGAAGTCCACTGAGCCCCAGAAAAGCAATGCAGCCTGTGGGCCTGAAGTTTGTCCACAAGTATACCCAAGTAGCAACCTTTGCCACCTGTTGTGCCCCAGACATTCTAGGTCAGTTCCAATAACCCAAGACTCCAACACTTATCCTCTGCCCTTCTCCTCCCCTCTGGGACCAACACACTGAAGCCCAGGCATCCCCTTCATGGTTCCTCCCAGGCCTTGCTGGCCTTCTCAACCTTCAGGACCCTGACGGTCCTCCCCATTCCAGTGAAACCCAGGCTGACAGGCTTGTCCCAGTCTCTCTCCCGGGCCTTGCAAACCTGAGACACTCCTCACTCACTCACCCATTCATTCATTCATTCATTCATTCACTGCCAAATATTTATTGACTATCTACTGAGGGACATGAAGCCCTGCTAACAGGAGAAAAACCTGAGGCTTGGGCACAATTAGATGACTTATCCACAGTCACCTTGCTAGTTAGTGGCAAAACAGGTACCACTACCCATTATCTGGCCTCCTCACCAGTGTTTTTTCCCACACCACATCCACAATCTTTGATCCACTGAGGCTCCGGTCTGATGGCATCGGGGAGAGGGTTGGGACATCCCTTTCTCTCCAACTGCTCCGCTCAGCGCGCTCCACATTTCCAATCACTATCGACGCTATCCCTAATTCCCCTTCTGACCCCACCTCATGATCTCCCTTGCTTCTTCTAGAGGTGTTCTCCTTACTCCTGGGCCTTCCCGACCCTTAGACCCAACTCTGCCCTCCCCTAGGCGCCCACTTTCCCCACTCAGAGCCCCCACACAATTCAGGACACAAGAGGCCCCATCTGAGATTCTCCCTCACCATGTCCTCAGCCACAGGCCCTGACTCCGGACCTCTGTCGCCGCCCAGGCGCCTCCAAGGCCTTGGTGTTGACGCGTTACCGTGGCAACCACTAGCCCGCGTTCCTCGGCTCAGGCCCCGCCCCCGGCCCCGCCCCTCCCACCTCCAGTGGGCAGTTGCCTTGTGCTGGTGGCGTAGGAACCGGAGCCGGTCGCTCCAACCGTTGCAGCCCCGCGCTCCAGCCCAACCGCGGCTCTGAAGGATTGACCCGCCCTGGCGTGCCCTGCTCTGCACTTTGGCTTTGGCCAAACTTTTAGGTCAGAACCCGAACTTAAAGAGCTTACCATGGGCCGAGGGAGTTCTAACTGTCAGCGGCCCGAAGAGCCTGGCCCACGGTCACAGTTTTCCCCAGGGACTTCACCTAGGTTACTATGATTACCCTTGCCCCACTGCCCAGGAGGCGCCAAGCCAACCCCTGATGAGTGTAATCTGCAGAGAAACCAGCAGGATCAGACCAAACTAGTTTCACAGCAGAAGACAGTCTGGTCGGGTCAAGAAAGAACTTCCAGTCCTGAGGATGTCTCTGCAGTCTCAGAAGCAGTTTCTTAAATTGCGGGCCTCAAATCTCCAGCTAAGAATCACCTGGAGAGTTTATTAAAAATGGAGGCCCTACATTAGAATAAGTCAAAAGCTAAGGAACTGACCTTGGGGTACTAATTCCTAGCTGGTATGTACTGTTCTAGAAAGTACATAGGGGTTTTGTCATTTTTCCAATTTGGTTTGGCCTCTCTACCTCCCAGCTTGCAGGGCTGGCATTGAACTCACCTCGGTAGGCTGCGTGCTCCAAGCCTCACAAAGCTGTCCCACCAGACCAAGGACATTTGTCTTCCTCCGGTGCTGATTAGCTAAGCTCTTGGTGTGACTCTGTGAGTCTCTGAGCTGCTTTCTCAAACCTCTCTCCAAACCCTCACAGCCAGTCTTTCTGAAGCTCTTACTCCAACTTGCATACTGAAGGCTGTTCACAAGCCCCAGGGGAATGGAAGAAGGGAGACAAGGTCACTTCTTGCTGCTTTTAAAAGGACTTTTTCCAACAGGCTTCACATTCCTTCCCTAGATTTCCCAGCCTTTATCTCCTTTGGGATCAAGAGTACGAAATTGTGTCCCTGCGCGGAGTCCCACCAAGTGTTGAAGGCTTAATCAGAGGGAGAAGGGAAGGCCTGAAGAGAAGGAGCACAGTCCATGGGAGGCTTGGGACTGAGAGAGGGGGTTGTTCTGTTCCTGGGAACCTTCCTTACTAAGCCTTGGCATTAGAACCCCCTTTCCTGCAGCTCAGAAAGAAGGAAAAACAAGTAACCGGCCCACTGTGGACAAGGCGCTTCCTGTATTCTTTTCACCCCATTCTCCCAGGCACATCTGCATGATGTAGTTACTATCCCTGTAACCAAAGAGGAAACTGAGGCCAAGAAAAATAGTTGTCCAAACTGAAAGTCTGTATCTTAGCCCAGGGTGACTCTCTGAAGAAAAGGTGCAAAGTTGAGGCAGAAAGGGCTGGGCACGGTGGCTCATGCCCGTAATCCCAGCACTTTGGGAGGCCGAGGTGGGCAGATCATGAGGTAGGAGTTGGAGACCAGCCTGGCCAACATAGTGAAACCCCTTCTCTACTAAAAATACAAAAAATTAGCCAGGGGTGGTGGCGGGCACCTGTAATCCCAGCTACTCAGGAGGCTGAGGCAGAAGAATGGTTTGAACCCGGGAGGGGAAGATTGCAGTGAGCCAAGATCACTCCAGGCCAGGCGACAATGCAAGACTCTGTCTCAAGGAAAAACAAAAAAAGGTTGAGGCAGGAAGGAGGGAATGACAGAGTGCAGTGTAAGGGACTTGCCTCCCAGCAGGCAATTACACGCCTATAATCCCAATACTTTGGGAGCCTAAGGCAGAAGGATTTCTTGCATCCAGGAGTTTGAAAACACCCTGGGCAACATAGGGAGATCTCATCACTACAAAAAATCAAAAATTAGCCAGGCATAGTGGTACATGCGGGTGGTCCCAGCTACTTGGGAGGCTGCACTAGGAGGGTCACTTGAGCCTGGGAGGTTGAGGCTGCTCTGAGCCATGATCGTGCCAATGCACCCAGCCTGGGTGACAGAGTGAGACTCTGTCTTGAAAAATAAAGTAAATAAAATACAATAAAAATTTATCTCAAAGCTAACAATGCTTAAGCTTCAGGCCTCTCATTTACGTAAGCACATGTCAAGGCTCAGAGAAGAACCCCTGGCAATGTGTCTACAGGCATACCTTGGAGATATTGCAGATCAGGCTTCAGAGCACTGCAATAAAACTAATATCACAATACAGTGTGAGCAACACAAATTATTTGGTTTCCCAGTGCATATGAAAGTTACATTTGCACTATACTGTAGTCTATCAGGTGTGCAATAGCATTATGTCTAAAAAAAATGTGCAGACTTTAAATATACTTCATTGCTAAAAAGTGCTAACAATCATCTGAGACTTCAGCGACAGTCATCATCTTTTTGTGGGTGGAGGGTCTTGCCTCGTGTTAATGGCTGCTAACTGATGAGGGTAGCACTTGCTGAAGGCAGAGGTGGCTGCAGCAATTTCTTACAATGAGACAACAGTGAAGTTTGCCACATCAGTTGGCTCTTCGTTTCTTTTTTTTTTTTTCAAATGGAGTTTCACTCTTGTTGCCCAAGCTGAAGTGCAATGACGCGATCTCAGCTCACTGCAACCTCTGCCTCCCGGGTTCAAGATATTCTTCTGCCTCAGCCTCCAGAGTAGCTGGGATTACATGCGCCACCACACCCAGTTAATTTTGTGTTTGTTTGTTTGCTTGTTTGTTTTTAAGACAGAGTTTTGCTCTTGTTGCCCAGGCTGAAGTGCAATGGCGCGATCTCCGCTCACCACAACCTCCACCTCCCGGATTCAAGCGATTTTCCTGCCTAGGCCTCCTGAGTAACTGGGATTCGAGGCATGCAGCACCATACCCGGCTAATTTTGTATTTTTAGTAGAGACAGGGTTTCTCCATGTTGGTCAGGCTGGTCTCAAACTCCCAACCTCAGGTGATCCACCCGCCTGGGCTTCCCAGAGTGTTGGGATTACAAGCGTGAGCCACCGCGCCTGGCTGACTCTTTCATGAAAGATTTCTCTGTAGGATGTAATGCTGTTTCATAGCATTTTACCCACAGTAGAACTTCTTTCAAACTTGGCATCAATCCCTTCAAGCCCTGCAGCTGCTGTATCATCTAAGTTTATGGAATATTCTAAATTCTTTTTTTGTCATTTCAATAATGATTACAGTGTCTTCACCATGAGTAAACTCTTTTCTGTTTGTTTGTTGTTTTAAAGCTCCATCGTCAATGGAATAGGAGTAGATTCTACCCCCTAAGAAACAACTCCTCACCATTCCAGTTTCATCACGAGATTGCAGCAATTTGGTCACATCTTCAGATTCCATTTCTGATTCTAGCTCTCTTGCTATTTCCACCATGTCTGGTATTACTTCTTGCACTGAAGTCCTGAACCCCTCAAAGTCATCCATGAGAGTTGGAATCACTTTCCATCAAACTCCTGTTAATCTCAATGTTTTGATCTTTTCTCATGAATCATAAATGTTCTTAATGGCATCTAAAATAGCAAATCTTTTTCAGAAGGTTTTCATTTTACTTTGCCCAGATGCATCAGAAAAAAAAAAATCATTATCTATGGCAGTTATAGCCTTACAAAATGTATTTCTTAAATAATAAGACTTGAAACTGGAAATTACATCTTGATCCATAGGCTACAAAATGGATATTGTGTTAGCAGAAATGAAAACAATATTGCTCTTCTACTACATCTCCATCAGAGTCCTTGGATGACTAGATGTATTGTCAATGAGCAGTAATATTCTGAAAGGAATCTTTTTTTCTGGGCAGTAGGTCTCAATAGTGGGCTTAAAATATTCAGTAAACCATGTTGTAAACAAATGCGCTGTCATCCTGGCTTTGTTGGTCCATTGATAGAGCACAGGCAGAGCCAATTTAGCATAATTCTGAAGGGCCTTAGGATTTTTGGAATGATAAGTAAGCATTGCTCTCAACTTAAAGAAACCAGCTGGCAGGGTGTGGTGACTCATGCCTGTAATCCCAACACTTTGGGAGGCTGAGGTGGGCAGATCATTTGAAGTCAGGACTTTGAGACCAGCCTGGCCAACATAGTAAAACCTATCTCTACTAAAAAAAAAAAAAAAAAAAAAAAAAAAAAAAAAGATCTGGGCATAGTGACATGTGCCTGTAATCCCAGCTACTCGAGGCACGAGAATCACTTGAACCCAGGAGGTGGAAGTTGCAGTGAGCTGAGATTGTGCCGCTGCACTCCAGCCTGTGTGACACAGTGAGACCTTTTCTCAAAAAAAAACAAAAATAAAAAAATAAAGGAACCAACTGTGTTAACCCCTAACAAGAAAGTCAGTCATCCCTTTGAAGTTTTGAAGCATTGACTTCTCTCTAGTCATGAAAGTCTTAGATGGTATCTTTGTCCATAGAAGGCTGTTTCATCTACATTCAAAATCTGTAAGTGTAGCCACCTTCATCAATTGTCTTAGCTAGATCTTCTGGATAACTTGCTTCAGGTTCTGCATCAGCACTTGCTGCTTCACCTTGCACTTGTATGTTATGGAGATAACCTCTTTTCTTAAACCTCATGAACCAACCTCGGCTAACTTCAAACTTTTTTTCTTCCTCACCTCTCTCACCCTTCATAGAACTGAAGAGAGTTAGGGCCTTGCTCTTGAGTAGGTGAACTTCTTTTTTCTTTTTCTTTCTTTTTTTTTGAGACAGTCTTGCTGTGTTGCCCAGGTTGGAATGCAGTGGTGCGATCTCAGCTCGCTGTAAGCTCCGCCTCCCAGGTTCACACCATTCTCCTGCCTCAGCCTCCTGAATAGTGGGACTACAGGCACCCGCCACCGCGCCTGGCTAATTTTTTTGTATTTTTAGTAGAGACAGGGTTTCACCGTGTTAGCCAGGATGGTCTCAATCTCCTGACCTCGTGATCCACCATCCACCGGCCTCAGCCTCCCAAAGTGCTGGGATTACAGGTG